CACTCCACAATCCCTACTCCTCCATTCTCCTCTCGGGATCTTGGGCATGCACACACATACGCCCGGCATGAGTTTTAAGCCATCGGGTCCAGGACGCGAACCGCGGTCGACTACGTGGGAGTCCAGCGACATAGCCATTACGCTAACTGCTGGTTCCCAGTCTTCACTTTTTATGACAATTTTTTTTAAGTGAGATACCATTCCTCCTTTATATTCCTGAGCAGCCTAGGAAGCCAGAGGCTCTTAGTTCAAGTTCCAGGTGCTAAAAACATACTGTGTGGGGACAGCAGTTGGCATAATGGCTATGTTGCTGAACTCTCATGTAGTCGACCACGGTTCGAGTTCTGGACCCAATGGCTTAAACTCAAGCCAGGCACATGTGTGTGCGTTCCCAGGATCCCGAGAGGAGAATGGAGGAGGAGGGATTACAGTGTGGCCATACCCCTGGGGGGTGATTTCTTGCTTTCTGTCTCTCTGTCTCTCTCTGTCTTTCTGGCGAGTGCACGCTCTCTATAGCAAAAACCTCTCCCAAAAAAACACTGTGAGACTTCCAGCAAAACCTTTTTTTAAATTATATTTTACCAACAAAGCACTTTGTATTTCATTAAGGTAGAAATGCACGTACAAAGCTGAGTTAATGAGCACTGTAGGGAGTGAGAAAAATCATGCTATTTGAATGCCATCTCACAAATAGAAAACGTTGTAATAAGGCCATCAACTCTAAGTTGGAGATGCATGGGCGGTCATAGTTTGGCTTCTGGTATAGATTTCAGTGGCCCTGTATGTGGTGGCCAAGTGGAGGTTCAGACTGGATGGATTAAATCCTGGTGCTTACAAGGTAATGTACATGTTTTTTCCCAGTTGAATTTGTTTATTAATTTCAAAAGATAATTAAAAAAAATTCATGGTAGGATGTGTGTGCACACACATGACAGGGTAAGAGAGACCAAGAGAGATGAGTATTCTCTGCAGAATCTGGTCACACCACAGTCTCCTTCCTCCAGTCTTCCAGCTCGTCAGATCTTAAGCATTCATGTGCAAGCCCAGTGTTTCAGGTTGACCAGGCCTGAAACAGCAGTTTGAACCATGGTCACTTTGTGAGATCCTACTTTTGAGTAGTGCATTACTGCTGTGTTACGTAGCTGGCCAGTTTATTAACTTTTGAAAGGATATACTATAGATTTACTATGTCACTTACCATGCCTAATATTTTGTATGCATTTAAAATATTAAATTCTTGGGGCCAGCAGATGGAGTAATGGTTATGTCGCTGGACTCCCACATGGCTAACTGCAAGTCAAGTCCCAGGGCCTGGTTATTTGAAAATCATGTCAGGCTTGTGTGCATATGTGCCCGAGATTTTGGGAGGAGAATGGAAGAGAAGGGATTGTGACATGGCCTTACCTCCCGGGGGGTGATTTCTCACTTTCCCTCTCACTGTCTCTCTCTCTCTCTATATATATATATCCAGCAAGCTCACACACCTGAAGGCAAAAAATAAAAATAGAAATGTTAAATTTAATTCTCAGTTTTGTGCCAGACATAACCTTACTGTCAGCATTTGACAGATGAAGAAATCGAGGTTTTAAGAGCTTCAATAACTTACCCAAGATTACATAGTTGACACATGGTAAAGCTGAAAGGACTAGGCTCTTGACACCAAAGCCTCTGATTCTTATAATCCTAACCAATGCTCATTGTTGTCTGTTCAGTCTCTGACACTAATAAAGTGATA